ATTATCGCCATGGTGGCCACCCTTTGCCTCCGAGATCGTGCCCTGCTCTTGCTGCTGGCTGCGGGAGCCGGCTGGAGCGGCGGGGCGATGCTGCGCGAGCTAGACAGCCAATTGGCCCGCGGGAGGCGCGCGGAGCTGTGTCGGGCTGTCTGGGCGGCTCCCCTGCTGTGGGCGCAGGCTCGGGAGGCAACGGGGGCGGCCCAGGCGCTGCATATCATTCCAATCGGTGAAGATCCCGGGGTTGAGTTAAGCGCACCTTCACCAGCTGCTGCCTGGGTGCCGCCATCTGGCGGAGGCGCCAGGACCTCATGTGTAGAGGACTCATGTGTAGATTACACAATGCACTTTTCTAAGGTCGCTGGTTGCGGATGAACTGGTGCCAGGGCAGGGTGCTGATCGCAGCTGCCGGACAAGGCGCAGGCGGGATGCAGCGGGCGCTGCCGCGGCGCGGGCGGCGGGCGGCAAAAAATGTCTCTCCCCTTCACTGCGCGGCGGCGTCGGGGAGCAGGTGCACCAGCCCCGCCAGCGCCCCCGTGAAGCCTGCGTTGTAGTCCATGGCCACCTCGTTGCTCTGGTAGTCGCTGCGCACGTCCTTGTAGCTGTCGCGCCCGCTGGGGCCGCCCACAAGCGCTCCCGTCAGCACCTGCAGGGTGCACGCAAGGGCGGGGGGGTGGAAAACAGGGTGTGGGTGCTGGGGAATGGGCCTGGGGCAGGACGGGTGAGGCTTGAAAGGAAGGCAGGCTGCCAGGCGGGCACGCGCCTGCGGGTTGGGGGCGGCAGAGGTGAAGGCGAGGTTGTAGGTGCAGGGCGCGGGGCGGGCGGCGCAGGAGGCGGCGCGGTGGTGGGCGTGGGTGGGAGGGTTGTTGCCGTAGCCAACCACAAAGCTCCTGCGGGGAGTGAAGGGGATGCAGGGGCACGGGTTGTGGCGGGCGGGACCTGCTGAGGTGGCACGGCACACGCAGCAGGCACCGCGGCACGCCGCCCTCCCCAACCCCACCCCTCCCCCCTCCCCTCCCCACCACCTCCGCCACACCAGCAGCCAGGCGCCAGGCCCGCACCT